CCCTGCAGTGACCGACAGAGCATTGGTGAGTCATGTTCCCACCTCTGTCAGGACCTGGGGCGCTGCAATTTTTGCTTGTAGATCTTGCGGAATTCGGTTCAAATATCCTGCGTGGTCCGGTCCAGCGATGATACCATTGATCCGTTGCTGTGTCCGGGTTGAAGGCGTTTTTTGATCGTCGTTTGCTAGGTTCAGAAACATGGAACAGGTCAGAAGGGGCTAGGGCTCGTCGTCGTTGGGACTCCCGTTGCTCTGTCGACGGAGCAGGTCGTTTTCCCGGTTCTTTTTGACTAAGCCCCAGATAAAAGCGAATGAGATCGGGGTCATCCGCAATGGCAGCTAGGATTTTGGCGTGGCAGTTCAGTGAGACAAGTGTCTCTGTACTGGATAGCGCTGGTGCGGCTAGATACGTCGCATTTGGATTCGGGGAGTCTTCGGGTGCCATGGCGCCACCTCTAATCGACTGTAACAGTGTCTCGAGATCGTCCCACTCGGTTTCTTCGCCACTAGGCGGTTCCGTTGTCTCGTTTGTATGGCGAGGATCAGCATCAAATAGGTCGCCAATGTTGGCACGTGCACTGGCGGGTATGCGGCGATTTCCATCGACGAAGAACGCATAGTCAACGTCATGGCGTACGCTCTGTAGACTCGCCCCCCAGTTAGGGTGTTAGTCCACCGGAGTGTTTCGGTGGCTTGGGGCTGTTCACGAACTGGTTGAAATCCCGCGAGTAGACGCGGAATTCAGCGTGATCCTCGTTGACTAGTGCCGAGAATTCTGTCCAAAATCTCAGTATACGGTTCGGTCAACTCCGCTGCAGTCATATCCTCGACCCGCAGTCGGTCAGAAAACACAATACCGGTGTGACCTTTTCTAATTCCACCGTTCGAGAGTTAAATTCACCAAGTAACGTTCGGATGGTGATGTAGTTTCCGTTGTATCTTACAACGTGGCCGGTCACGTAGTTTCCGTTGGAGACACCGACAACAGCTTTACGGAGCCATTCGCCGGGAGACCCCGAGTCGTACTCATTGACACCAACCTGGCGACGACGCGCCGTTGAGGCTGAAACTTGCACAGTTGCATGCGGAGGTGTCGACAACCGGACAGTAGCGGTACTGCCTACTATGGTGTCACATGTTCCGTACACAGGAACGGACACTACGGCTTGGCCCTGGACATCTTCAGGCACCAGAAGTACGGAGCAGAGCGACATGACCATTGTGACAGGGTCGTAGGTGGTAGAAGGGTTTGTTTTCGACGAAGTAAAATCGGAAACGACTACAATGCTAAAGCTACCGAGGGCCCCGGGAGAGCGCGAGTTGGACTTCGCTTGCGAGGACGTCTGTCCGTTGTGGTTGGTGGCTGAGCTCCTATTCCACTGGATAGTGTACATATGGGGGACGCCTCATCCCTCGTGCTCCGAAAATTAGCTCTTCAGCTGTAGCCGACCGATGCCCAGTACGCGGCTTCAAACGGCAGGGCAGTGCGGAACCTGATCTCCATCAAAAAGAAGTTCCAGAATTTGATAAACGCCAAGAAACCGACTGGGGATCCGGACTGCCCAGAATATGTGCGCGATGCTCGTGAAGTCCAGGATCTAAATGAAGAGAAAAGATAGCATAACGACGATATTGATGATAGCCGTGGTGGAACACAGGAATCAGCAAATGACCGGATGATCCGGCACAGCCCAACGAGAGTACTCAGCAGTCGGATGGGGCACCGTACTATGATGGAGGTGGAAGAGTTGGTCAGTCCAACAACCACAGGCAGAGTGATCAAGCCAGCTACTTCTCAGAATGTATGTCATAGCGCTGCGGGTGGAGCACCACGTCCTAGATCTAGGACGAGGAGATTTGGGATGTCCGGGGGTACGCTCCAGTGTTGCTTGAACGAACCCTAGACCTGGATGGGTCAACCAACACCCATACATTATATAAATATTTACAGGATATATAAGCAAAGAGTTTTTAAATGTAAATTCAACTTGTAGTTGATCCGATTCAAAGGGAATTCAATTATGGGCACATTGGTACGTTGCTCGGATCCCTCCTAGGATTCTAAATAAAAAAAATCCAGAGAATTAATTTGTATATCTTTTTGTAGGAGGTAGAAATTGCTCAGCAAAAGGCACTATTGAGAGGCTGCAAGCTGCCCGACATGATGCGGTGGTACAACGTGAAGAGGTATCTGATGTAGGGTCGCATCATGATCGACTAGTACAGGAATTATAACACGCACAAGCTCAGGTGACCATAATATTATTGGTTTTACTAAACAGAATTTTTATTAACAGTCTGCGCGTATATTTCATCAGGTTGAAGTTCTTGCGACGCAGTGCCAAGCTCATGAGAAGGAGTTGATCTTGTTACGTGACCGAATAGAAGAGCTGCAAGCAGCCAATGAGACGTTGCAGAATGACGAGCGCGAGGCCCGTTTTAGAGCTGCTGAGTACGAACAGGGATACATGGATTTAGTTACGGAGATCGAGAAAATAAAGATTTCAAATGAGGTGGAGAAGGCCGCGTTGATGGCGAAAAGCGAGGAGCATGCGAGCTCGATTGACAGCCAGAAACTCTACGACCTGGAGGCTCGATTGACCACGTCGGAAGCAGATAAAATTGTTGCGCAACAAGACGCTGAGAGACTGCAACGTGACCTGGACGCGCTCGAAGACGTCCTACACCAGTTCCAGGTGGCGAGCAAGGCTCAGAAAGAGCGTGTTGAAGTGGAACTTGAGCAGGCGAAGAAAGAGTTGCAGACACGACAGCCTCTTCCGGAGCCTACGGAAGGAGAGGTGAATGATTTGAAGCGAGTGATGGAGAAATTGACCAAGAAAACACACGAGTGTGAACAGCATCGAGAGGTAAAGTAATTATTTTCTAAGCAATTTATTTCGTAACTTACGCGTTTATTTTACTGCTTGGCTAGGCGCTCGAAAGCACTGCGACCCAATATAATTCGGAGCGCGACGTACTTAATAAAAGGCTTGCTGCGCAATTGGTGGTATGTTTACTATTGAGTTTGCTCTGCTGATGTACGATAAAATAACTTAGTGTTGATGTCGATCGTGTAGGTGGCATACGTGGACAGCAATAAGAAGGGTGAAGTACTTCAACTCATGGCGCGAATGATGGTGCGTTTGTTTCTGGTTTATATTTTTTTTATTTTTTATTTTATCGTTACAACTACGTGGAATTTATTTGATAGAGCTTTACGGAGGAGCAAAAGCGGCGAGTTGGTTTGGGTTATCCAATTGAAGGTAATGGTGGTGGGGGACTCTTCTCGTCTATTATCGGACTTGTAGCTCCTGGTGAGGGAGGAAGCGCTCCCGTCGACCCGTCAGCGATTGAAGGCAAGAGTTTTGCAGATATGTGGTCCGAGTTCTTACTCGATGAAGCTTCCAAAGGGAAGTAAAGTGAAATCAACAAAGAATCAACTGCATATATGAAAAGTGCCCAACAACCGACTGAATAAGAGACCTCAAGTTATTTTAAGGATGATATTCCGTGGGTATAATTCTTATAATTCTGGCTTATTCTTCAGTAAACACTCTACTTCACAACATTACCAGATCTAACCTCGTCCTTCATCATTGCTTCCGACATGTTACGGATTGGACTCTGTCAATACTCCGCTGTCATCGGTACACCAATTCGTACACAGTAAAACCGCAGCACACAAGATAAACTGCATCTTCCTAACGATGTCTGGACGATCGCTCCGGTTGGACATTCGACCGAATTTTCATTGACGCGTTCTCGAATGGCGCAATCAACGGAAGACAGCGCACATTTAGTGGGGTTATTATTGTGCAGTCATTGTTGGAGCTCCCTACCATGCACGATACGCCGCCGGGCAACACGCAGGTAAATATAATATCATCCTGAATGAAGTTGACTAGCAGAAGTAGTACTGAGTATGCTGTGAACACAGCTCGTTGCCTTAGACACGACTGGATTTCCAAACCAGCCGTAGGTAAACTTTCTGTGGAAACACGTGTGCTTTAACTTTGCACATTTTGTTCAGGCCTTTGGAGGAGAGACCAAAACATAATGCTAGTATGTGTAGTGACCAGCACCAGTAGAAGAAAACCCACTTTGTCACTTTGAGTGCGGGTGCTGGTGAATCAAAAATGACACCAGCTGACAGTGGCCGCGAGCATTATGGTAAGAGCGTGACGTAAACAAATGTGTACTTGGTACACTGTACGCTCTTCCGCGCGCACGGAGCGCTAGACTTTTAGGCACAGTGTAGAAGCTTTGCATTTCCCAGTACGTACAGTTCATGAGCATTGTTTACAGTATTAGTAGCAATGTTTACAGCGTGAGGTGAGCAGTGTCTAAACACACTGTAATTATAAGCTGTATACATGCACACGTAGTACGGTTTACATGTATTAATTCATTTAAAACAAAGTTATGCGGCTAAGTGTATCGATCAACGCCGAGCTATTTCTTAAAAACCCGATCCCAACCTTAATGAAAAGTGCCAACGCATGAATTAGCATGACCACTGATGACAAAAAACAGTACTTGTACACAATGATGCAAGCATCACTGCAGTACCCGTTAGTTATCCTATTCGCATTCTTCATCACTTTGGCAGTGAATGGTGTATCTACAGGCAATCCAATCCAGACTCCCGCGACACCACCGCAAAGCCTAGACCAGCAATTAAATAATGCTCCATCAGTACGCCTCCACATCATGCTCAAGGGAAAGAATATGCAGATTCACGGACAGTCTGTCTTCGACGTATTCGCCAAACCAGTAATTTCCGCTGACCCAACAAGCGTACGCTACGACGGATTCGCCACATTTATCCAATGGGATTCAAAGTTCACGTCCATGGTCGTTGACGGCTCCGCATACGTCGTGGAGAGCACGGGAGATGACACCACGTCCGTCGCCACACGAACCGTGAGATGTCTGTCTTCAATCACACCGTTCGACTCCATCGTTGATGCGCTCAACAATCTCACTGCCGTATCGACCGAGGCTGTCGGTGACGACAGTGAAGTGGACTGCAACAAAGGAAGCTTATACGAGACGTCATTTGGTGGCAAGCATTTCATGGTATGCGCGCCTGGAGCTGACGGATTCATCGCGTACGGAGGGGATATTACGATGGTAGTGGAGTACTTAGATAGTCCGCTAACCAGCTTATCTACCCCGAACTTGACTGATGGCAGTGTATCATGCCCCGCTGTGGTAAAGCCGACATCAGTGTCTCCAACCACAGTTGCTTTTCTGATCGGTAAGGAAGCATCACCAACTTGTGCAAGTCTTGAAAGCGACTGGATTTAGTGTGAGGTACTGGAAACTAAAAGTATTGCTCCCGTCATACAGAAGCATTTCGGAAACCCATGGTGAGGTGTAATGGCGCCGTGTCGGGGCTCGCACGGAATCAATGCACGATCATAATACAATAGATACTACTAAT